TGTTTACCTGTCTGTCTCTCTGTTTACCTGTCTGTCTCTCTCTCACCTGTCTGTCTCTCTCTTTGTTTACCTGTCTGTCTCTTTGTTTACCTGTCTGTCTCTCTCTCACCTGTCCGTCCCTCTCTTTGTTTACCTGTCTGTCTCTCTCTCACCTGTCTGTCTCTCTCTCACCTGTCTGTCTCTTTGTTTACCTGTCTGTCTCTCTGTTTACCTGTCTTTCTCTCTGTTTACCTGTCTGTCTCTCTCTCACCTGTCTGTCTCTCTCTTTGTTTACCTGTCTGTCTCTCTGTTTACCTGTCTGTCTCTCTGTTTACCTGTCTGTCTCTCTCTCACCTGTCTGTCTCTCTCTTTGTTTACCTGTCTGTCTCTCTGTTTACCTGTCTGTCTCTCTCTCACCTGTCTGTCTGTCTCTTTGTTTACCTGTCTGTCTCTCTGTTTACCTGTCTGTCTCTCTGTTTACCTGTCTGTCTGTCTCTCACCTGTCTGTCTGTCTCTCTCTCACCTGTCTGTCTCTCTGTTTACCTGTCTGTCTCTCTGTTTACCTGTCTGTCTCTCTCTCACCTGTCTGTCTGTCTCTTTGTTTACCTGTCTGTCTCTCTGTTTACCTGTCTGTCTCTCTCTCACCTGTCTGTCTCTCTCTTTGTTTACCTGTCTGTCTCTTTGTTTACCTGTCTGTCTCTCTGTTTACCTGTCTGTCTATCTGTTGACCTGTCTGTCTCTCACCTGTCTGTCTCTCTGTCTACCTGTCTGTCTCTCACCTGTCTGTCTCTCTGTCTGCCTGTCTGTCTCTCACCTGTCTGTCTCTCTGTCTGCCTGTCTGTGTGCAGGTGTCAGGCTCTGGACCAGGCCGATGTCTCGGAGGACCCCGGCTCGCCCTCCGTCTCGTTTCTCACCCGGCAGATTCAGGCCCTGAAGAAGAAAGTCCGTCGCTTCGAGGACCAGTTCGAGCAGGACATGAAGTACAAGGTGGACACTGCTGTTAATTTAATACATCAATTATCAAAACACATCAATTAACCAATTAATACGCTGGATTTTGTCTGCTGTGTTGGGATAATCCAAGACAGGCTTTTCAAAATAAGAAACTAATTCTGTTTATCTTTGTGATGTTTATAGAAGACAGGCTTTTCAAAATAAGAGCGTCTTAAAAACTAGTAATCGTTCAATTTGTCACGTAAACTCAAGTTGGTATTTTCAAAATAAGAGCTGCTCATTAACAGCATTATGAAACAAATCGAGTCCTGAATCAGGGTTAGGATTATTCAAGGCAGGCTTTTCAAAATAAGAGCTGCTTTATACGAGCTTAATGACAGTCGGATGTCAGTATTTTGACATGATGAGAAAATGTATTTTCAAAAATAAAAGCGTTCACCCAGAGTTTCACTTCCTGTTTGGGTTTCAGCCGACACACAACGATAAATACTCAAACCCCGAGATGATCCGAGTGATGGGGGAGCTGGCCTCGGCTCGCAAGCGACTGAAAGGTAAGACAACAGATCAGAGACGTGTAGGAGACGTGAGCTCTGTGAAGTGCCTCCATAAACATTCACCTGTTCGTCATCTTGATTTCTACTTATTTATATAAATACTTATCACCGCAATAAACCGTATTTAATTTAGTCTTAATGTACGTTATTTAATTTCATATTCTGTTCTTGTACATATCATATTCTATTTAAATGTATAGAGACTTCTTGTAGGCTATATATATATATATATATATATGTGTTGCATCGTTGGAGGAGCTCAGAAGAGTTTCCAACATTTCCCAAATTGGGAATAAAGTACTTCTTTATCTTATCTGACAATAAAACCTTTGAATCTCGAATGTGTTCCTGCAGAGATAGTTAAAGTACACACATCCTTTACTCACGTAGAAGTACACACATCCTTTACTCACGTAGAAGTACACACATCCTTTACTCACGTAGAAGTACACACATCCTTTACTCACGTAGAAGTACACACATCCTTTACTCACGTAGAAGTACACACATCCTTTACTCACGTAGAAGTACACACATCCTTTACTCACGTAGAAGTACACACATCCTTTACTCACGTAGAAGTACACACATCCTTTACTCACGTAGAAGTACACACATCCTTTACTCACGTAGAAGTACACACATCCTGTACTCAAGTAGAAGTACACACATCCTTTACTCAAGTAGAAGTACACATCCTTTACTCACGTAGAAGTACACATCCTTTACTCACGTAGAAGTACACATCCTTTACTCACGTAGAAGTACACACATCCTTTACTCACGTAGAAGTACACACATCCTTTACTCACGTAGAAGTACACACATCCTTTACTCACGTAGAAGTACACATCCTTTACTCACGTAGAAGTACACACATCCTTTACTCACGTAGAAGTACACATCCTTTACTCAAGTAGAAGTACACACATCCTTTACTCACGTAGAAGTACACACATCCTTTACTCAAGTAGAAGTACAGAAGTATGGGCTTTGAAATGTAAGAAAAACCAGAAGTTCATTATACAGCAGTGTGTTTGTGGGCGTGTGTTGGATTGTGTGTGTGTGTGTGTGTGTGTGTGTGTGTGTGTGTGTGTGTGTGTGTGTGTGTGTGTGTGTGTGTGTGTGT